CTAACCTAACCTATAAAGATAGGTTAGGTTAGGTTAGGTATGGTTGGTTAGGTTCGGTCATATATCTACGTTAATTTTAACTCCAATAAAAAATAATGACCTCATACATAATGAAATGGGTAGCTTTATCATTTCATAAGAAAAAAATTAGAGAAAATATATTAATTCAGGAAAACTTGGCTTATTTGGCAAATCGGGCCTTGCATAGTAGGCTGAGAAGTGCGTTCTGGCTACTAGGTACGACATTATATATATATATATATATATATATATATATATATATATATATATATATATGTCGTACCTAGTAGCCAGAACTCACTTCTCAGCCTACTATTCAAGGCCCGATTTGCCTAATAAGCCAAGTTTTCCTGAATTAATATATTTACTATAATTTTTTTCTTATGAAATGATAAAGCAACCCTTTTCTCTATGTATGAGGTCAATTTTTTTTATTGGAGTTAAAATTAACGTAGATATATGACCGAACCTAACCCACCCTACCTAACCTAACCTAACCTATATTTATAGGTAAGGTTAGGTTAGGTAGCCAAAAAAGCTAGGTTAGGTTAGGTTAGGTAGGTTAGGTAGACGAAAAAACATTAATTCATGAAAACTTGGCTTATTAGGCAAATCGGGCCTTGAATAGTAGGCTGAGAAGTGCGTTCTGGCTATTAGGTACGACATATATATATATATATATATATATATATATATATATATATATATATATATATATATATATATATATATATAATGTCGTACCTAGTAGCCAGAACGCACTTCTCAGCCTACTATGCAAGGCCCGATTTGCCTAATAAGCCAAGTTTTCATGAATTAATTGTTTTTCGTCTACCTAACTTACCTAACCTAACCTAACCTAACTTTTTCAGCTACCTAACCTAACCTAACCTATAAAGATAGGTTAGGTTAGGTTAGGTAGGGTTGGTTAGGTTCGGTCATATATCTACGTTAATTTTAACTCCAATAAAAAAAAATTGACCTCATACATAATGAAATTGGTAGTTTTATCATTTCATAGGAAAAAAATTAGAGAAAATATATTAATTCAGGAAACTTGGGTTATTAGGCAAATCGGGCCTTGCATAGTAGGCTGAGAAGTGCGTTCTGGCTACTAGGTACGACATATATATATATATATATATATATATATATATATATATATATATATATATATATATATATATATATATATATATATATATATATTATTAAATATGACCGAAAAAGTAAGATTAATAATTCTAACACGAATTTTCTCAATCTTTCGTACATTACGCTTCACTGTTGGAGGTAAATAAAAATCACTTCTCCAAAATTCATTTTATTTCTAGTCTGACGCGACACGGGCGCGTTTCGTAAAACTTATTACATTTTCAAAGACTTCACAAATACACAACTGATTAGAACGTATCTCTGATTTTATATCTACATTTGAGTGAGGTGGGAAGGGTGATGTGGCATTAACACAAGACAGAACAGGAGGGGATATTAATAGGGTATTAAAAGTATCAACACAAGACAGAACAGAAACAATGGGTATTGAATAGAAGTGTTTGTAGAAAGCCTATTGGTCCATATTTCTTGATGCTTCTATATTGGAGCGGAGTCTTGAGGTGGGTAGAATATAGTCTGACGTGTCGCGTCAGCCTAGAAATAAAAATGAATTTTGGAGAAGTGATTTTTGATTTACCTCCAACAGTGAAGCGTAATGTACGAAAGATTGAGAAAATTCGTGTTAGAATTATTAATCTTACTTTTTCGGTCATATTTAATAATATATGTCTACAGGAAAGACTGCTACCAAAATATACTAATATATATATATATATATAAACATACCTAACCTAACCAGACATAACCTAACCTACTCTAACCTAACCTAATCAGACATAACCTAACATAACCTAGCCTAAAAAAAAACCCTCTTAAACCCAAGATAACCAGAGCTAATGTATAACCAAAACTAACCTTAACGACGTGTATGGTTCTGACAATCAGAAAACGACCTTTGTCGAACTGCCTGTTGTACTATTTGACCGTAACCGAACCCCCTACTCCCCCCTCCCCTGCTGACATTACCACCCCCACTAACACCCCCTATACCACCCCCACCAACACTCCCCCCTCTCCCGCACCCCCACCAACACCCCCCCCCTCCCGCACCCCCATTAACACCCCCACCCGCTATTCTTATCCGCAGCGACCAGTTCGATTCAGCTATCAGCTGGTCCGGTGGTCCCAGTACACCCTCCCTACGGTCTGGTGGTCCCGGTACACCCTCCCTACGGTCCTCTCTATGGTCTGGTGGTCCCAGTACATCCTCCCTACGGTCTGGGGGTCCCAGTAGACCTTCCCTACGGTCTGGTGGTCCCGGTACACCCTCCCTACGGTCTGGTGGTCCCGGTACACCCTCCCTAGGGACTGGTGGTCCCAGTACAACCTCCCTACGGTCCTCTCTACGGTCTGGTGGTCCCAGTACATCCTCCCTACGGTCTGGGGGTCCCAGTAGACCTTCCCTACGGTCTGGTGGTCTGGTGTTACAGTTGCATCATTCCTAAACCTATTGTTGGACACCAATTTATTCTTGATTATTTCGGAAAAAAAGGTCAACAAACCCCTTGCACAGGTCCTGCCCCACAGCACTAAACATTATGATTAAACGCCCCTGACATTATGTTTTAATCTCATTACACGTGACTGACTTCACGTAAATAAATATATAAAATATATATATCTTTCAAAAAACCTATAGGCCTACCTGACAAATTGTTCATCAAATGGTTTAGTTACGAAAATATGACACTAGGTCATATTTCTTACCTGTTGGAGCCGAGGAGACTCCCACCACAAGTAGCATAAATATTAATTCCATCGTTGTTTGGTGACTATCTTCCAATCAGCTTACGTTCCAACTGGTCAAACCATTCTAAACTCAAGTCCCGGGTGTCACAATGCAAGTTTCAGAACTGTCCACGTTCTCCAGATAGTCATGTCACCTCAAGGTTATGCAGTAAACTGTTGAGCCGTTCAGAACAGATGACGGGAGGGACGTATTAAATATATAAATTCAACTGTCAGTGGAGGTTAGATCCAGTGACCTTCACCCTGCGGGGTCTTGTCAAGCACTGATTTGGAGAGCGTGTGCTGGCTGCCGGTCTGGTCGGTACCCGAGGTGGGCTGTCCCGGCACTGGTGGGCGGAGTCTCGGCGCTGGTGGGCGGAGTCTCGGCCACTACACACTGCGCTTGGAGGCAGAGTCTCGGCGCTGGTAGGCGGAGTTTCGGCGCTAGTGGGCGGGGTCTCGGCGCTGGTGGGCGGAGTTTCGGCGCTGGTGGGCGGAGTCTCGGCGCTGGTGGGCGGAGTCTCGGCGCTAGTGGGCGGAGTCTCGGCCACTACACACTGCGCTTGGAAGCAGTCTCGGCGCTGGTAGGCGGAGTTTCGGCGCTAGTGGGCGGGGGCCACTACACACTGCGCGGCAGAGTCTCGGCGTGGGCGGAGTTTCGGCGCTGGTGGGCGGAGTCTCGGCTGGTGGGCGGAGTTTCGGCGCTGGTGGGCGGAGTCGGCGCTAGTGGGCGGAGTTTCGGCGCTGGTGGGCGGAGTCTCGGCGCTATTGGGCGGAGTCTCGGCGCTAGTAGGCGGATTCTCGGCGCTAGGGGGCAGAGTCTCGGCGCTGGTGGGCGGAGTCTCGGCACCGGTGGGCGGAGTCTCGGCACCGGTATTTCAATGGTACAATGTCGGTATTTTACTGTGAATTTTGTAATTAGGCCTAATCTATATTACTAGGCCTAGTCTATTTTGTAACTTGACCTGGTTGATATTTTCAAAATCATGTTCATGAGTAAGTATGGTTCCTGTCAACCAACTGATTGTAGCGTGATAGGTACACAACGTATAAGTAATAATAATAATAATAATAATAATAATAATAATAATAATAATAATAATAATAATAATAAATAATAATAATAATAATAATAATATGGAATAATAACAGTAAGAAGGAATAATAATAATAATAATTTCATTCACCTAGGCACCAGTGCCTCTAGGGGGACTCAGGCCACGGACCCCAAGCGTGTTCATGAGGCTCTATCCACACCTGGGGTCCAGGGTTTGAGTCTCCTAAAGCCCAGGTGAATGAAATGTTTATTTCCAAGGAAGTGTGGATGATAATTAATAATAAATAATAAAATGAAGAATGAATAAAAAGAAGAAATAAGAATAATGAAGGTTAAGAAAGGGCAAAGAAAGTTCAGATCGTGGTCACGCTGGGTGTGGCAAGGGAGTGGATGGGGAAGATGGGTTGATGGTGGGGGATGGGGTAGATGGGGTGTATATGGAAGAAGGAAGGACGGGGCATTTTACAACCTATGGGTGAAGCTGCGTATTGTGTTGACGTGAGGGGCAAGAAAGCTTCCAACCCTGACAACACAGGCTTTACTTTCCCCCCACCGGTCTCTCATTCTCTCGACCTTATCGCCTCCAGGAACGTCGGAGGCATGACAGTGCTACGCAACTCCCCCTCTTCCCCCCCCCCCCCACACACACAAACCAGGAATGTTTGTGAATGTTTGTGGTTAGTGCATAGAGCGGCTGGAAATGGAGGGAGCTTGACATAAACGGTGGACGGGGAGGGAATTCTCTAGGGGATGGAGAAGGTGTTTGGGGGGGGGGGGGTGGCCGTAAGACCCGCTCTCAACACTGATTTTCACTTAGAGGAACAGCTGTCATGGTGGGTGGGTGGTGGGTGTGTACTTACCAAGATGTGCTCGCAGAGTCGGGCCAGGCTCCTAGACCCCCCACCTTCCAAACGTTCTTACATTAATGCAATGACTCGTGTAAATATGATAAAAGGGTGAGACATTTGTAATTTTGAATCGCGTTACCTTCAATGTTTTCTACGTTAAACTTATTCCACTTCCTGATGTCTCTTGTGACTCATTTGTGTATGGAGTTCCCGTCTATGACCTCTCGTTCAGCTGCTCCTAGCTTTGAACAACGCTGCTTTGAGTACTTTGTCAATTTCTCTTAGGATCTTATATGTTACAGGATAAAAACCCACATTTATGTATTTGTGTAAAAGATTTACACCAAGTCTTTCTCACTCTCCAGAATGCTTTGTCAAGGTCTGAGTGTGTGACTAGGACGAGACTTACATCTCAACGTCTAATGCCCAGTGCCCCATCTTCAGGTTATCTTGGGATGATTTTGAGGCTTAGCATCCTCGCGGCCCGGTCCTCGACCAGGCCTCCTTGTTACACACACCCAGGAAGCAGCCCGTAGCAGCTGTCTAACTCCCACGTACCTATTTTACTGCTAGGTAACAGGGGCATCAGGGAGAAAGAAACTTTTTGCCCATTTTGTCTCTGTCTCCACCGGGGGATCGAACCCGGAACCTCAGGACTACGAATCCGAAGCGCTGTCCGCTCAGCTGTAATGCGCCCTTAGACATGTCCTATGTAAGTCTCGGCCTTATCACATACTCAGACTTTGACAAAGCACTCTGGTGAGTGCAAAAGTCTTGGTGTAAACCTTTACATAAAATACACAAATACACAAGTGTGGGATTTTATCCTATGTTATTATGTCTGTGTGAAGACGTTAGCATTATTTACCTTATGTGTTATTATGTTCCCTATCACTTCTTTCTTTCAGTGGGATAAGGTCTAGTCGTTCTTCATAACTCAATCCCTTCAGCTCAGGAATGGACCTCGTTGCATATCTTTGTGCTTTCTAGTATTTCCTTGTCCTTTCTCAGGTGAGGGAGGTAAGGGTTCAATGCTCGGAGATGTACATTTAAGAGTGGTTTCATATTTTCTTTATATAGGGACTGGAAAGCCTCTTTGCCAATGTTTTTGAAGAATGTACTTACGTTAGTCAGTATGCCATATGCAGCTGTTGTTGTTATAATTCTGCTAATGTGGGTTTCTGGCATTAAATTGGGGGACATGTCCACTCCCAGGTCTGTCTCCTTTTTTTGACTGAAGAATCTGTCTTCCTTTCATTCTACACTGCTGTACTGGTATTCACACTCCTGTTTCAATCCTCGAAACTTTGCATTGGCTGGGTTAAACTATTAGTCATGTTTCAGATCACTTGTTGAGTGTGTCCATATCTGTTTGTAATGCATCACAGTCTATCTTTGGCTTGATTCTTCTCATTAGTTTTTCATAATCAGCAAGCGTTTATATAGAGGAGCCAATTTCCTCTGTCAGGTCATTGACATATATTATAAATAGGATAGGCCCCTAGAACCAACCCTTGTAGTACTCCACTCCTAACTTCTCTCCAATATGATATATCTATTTTCATTGTAACCCACTGCTTCCTTCCCAAGAGATACTCTCTGACCCACGTTAAGACTCTTCCCGATACAACAGCCTGCTTCCTGGCTCGAGAGGGAGTCTTTTGTGCGGGGTAGATCGAATGTTTTGTGTCAGTTGAGGAATATGTATTGTGTGTGTGTGTGTGTGTAGTGTGTGTGTGTGTGTGTGTGTGTGTGTGTGTGTGTGTGTGTGTGTGTGTGTGTGTGTGTGTGTGTGTGTGTGTGTGTGTGTGTGTGTGTGTGTGTGTGTATTGTGTGTGTGTGTGTGTGTGTGTGTGTGTACTCACCTATTTGTGCTCACCTATTTCTGCCTGCATGATCGAGCATTGACTCTTGGATCCCGGCTTTCTAGCCATCGGTTGTTTACAGCAATGACTCCGGTCCTATTTCCCTATCATAATTAGTTTTAAAATTATGAATAGAATTTGCTTCCACAACCTGCTCATTAAGTGCATTCCATTTCCCACTACTCTCACGCTAAAAGAAAACTTCCTAACATCTCTGCGACATCTGAGTTTCCAGCTTCCACCCATGTCCCCTCGTTCTGTTACTATTCCGTGTAAACATTTCATCTATTTTCACTTTGTCATATTTCTACATTGAGGCGATTCTCTGGTGCTAGGTCAGGGGGGTTATATCAACTCTCAGTACTTTTTTTTTTGCAGTCTTAGATTATCCTCTCCTGTTCATTTCATACTGTTCAATAAATCTTCTTACTCCCTAAACAATTCTCACTACCTTGCATTTATATGACCTAAATTCTAGAAGCCATATCTCAGACATTCCCCGAAGCTTTTCATGTTCATCCTGGAGCTTTGATTGTTAAAAGTGTTTTATGACACTCATCACTAATTGTGTATCAAGAGCAAACACCGACAAGAAGGTAGCAGCTTCCTCATTAAGGTCACTGACGTTTATCAAGAACATTATAAACATTATAGTCCCCGAGTACTGACTTGTGGAACTCCAGTTATGAACTTCCGTTACTCTTAAGTATCTCTTCTCATGATAACTCAGATGCCTCTTGACGACCCAGGAAAATATACTCATTCAATAATTTCTCGTTTATAGCTTTATCATTAAACTTCAATACGTTCGTTTTAAATTTTCTGATCCATGATATTTTTGTTTTGTACAAGGATGGGTAGAGGAGTCGGCGGCTTCCGCTTCCTGTTAACATGCTTAACTTTTTCCCTTTCCCATAATTCATGTAAGTCTTACCCTACAAGTTTACCCCTGGAACACAACCCGTCAAGCGGTTAGCCACCAGGTTCTCAATTACTACTTCGTGATCAGGGACAAACAGTTAAGGATTGAAAATCAGTCAATCCTTCGTGGCCAAGTCTCAAACCCCAGACGACATCGTTCGGGAGGATAGGCGGCGGGTGTTCCACCTCTACCTGTGGTTGTAAGCCAGGTGTGAATCCTCGGGAGTCTGGATGACTCTTCAAATCTCCTGGCGATTGTTTCTGGTGTTTATACACAGAAGATATGAGTGTGATTCCGGTCTGTAAGGGGGGGAGGGGGGAGGTTCTGCCTGCTCTCTTTCTTGATTCTATGCACCACGATGGCTGTCTCCCATTCAATTGGGAAGTACTCCTTTATCTATTAAAGTCTTGTAGATCATTAGTGGAGCTTTCTCAGCCTTCAGTACCACAACTGCTTGTAAGGTCAGTCTGGAGCTTCCCTCTCCCATCCATACCTTCTCACCACGCCCAGACCCACCGCTCTGTGCTCCACATCCTCCCTCAACATACCTCCTTCCTCTCTCTCCACATCCCTCCCTCCCTCCCTCACCACTTCTCCTCTGAGCCTCGCCAACAGAGGGGCGTGCAGCGGTCCACCTGTGGCTCAGCTGGTAAACAGCTTCACCGGCAGCTGTTATATTGCAACAGGACACACACATGGATGAACCTAACCCAGGTGCGTATATGCAGGAAACGGCCGTTAAGCAACCCTCCAACATCTATAATATAATGCAATCCCATTAGAGGAAACTAGATTTATTCCTCCAAGGAGTGCCGGACCAAAGGGGCTGTGGTGGGTATGTGGGCCTGCGGGCCGCTCCAAGCAACAGCCTAGTAGACCAAACTCTCACAAGTCAAGCCTGGCCTCGGGCCGGGCTTGGGGAGTAGAAGAACTCCCAGAACCCCATCAACCAGGTAACCAGGTAATAACCTAGGTAGTAGCCGCGTCCAACAGCCTGGTTGACCAGTCCAGCAACGAGGAGGCCTGGTCGACGACCGGGCCGCGGGGACGCTAATCCCCGAAAACACCTCAAGGTAACCTCAAGGTAACCTCAAAGTAGGTATTGCCATTTCATTTCCTTGGATCGTCGAGGGATTCGAACTCTTCCCGACAGGCCAGGATACCCACAACAAGGGTCTACTAAGTTCCTAACTCATAAGAGACCTTAACCTTTCCCTGGGAACACCTCTAAGGTATATCTTATGAATCTACGTCTTCACGACATGGATGAAGAGGTGCGTGACTACCAGATTTACCTTAATGGTAATTCCACGGAAGTTTAGATCCATTAAAGTAAAGTATGGTTCTGAGACTGCAGTGGGTTCAGTGACATTGGTCGCAGTGACTTGTAGCTGTTTTAGGCTACTGTTCACTGATTTGCCACTGAAGCCTCATGAACTCATCTCCAGCTTTAAATGATGATACTAACATCAACCTCTGTTGGTATAGTCAGCTGTAATCTCCTTAGTATAATGCTACTGGAGAATATATATCAGCTGACAAATTTAGGTTTCTACTGGTATTGTTTATCTGCAGGCATAGGTCTCCTCAGGCTTGATACTGGGCCTGAGAGTAATTTACCTCCTGCAGAGTTTAACATGGTTATGCCCTGATATTTAGTAGGGCTACCAATGAATTGATGGCAATAGTCCTGTCCCTACAAGGAGACCGAAGTCGTTGAGGTGATCAGACTTAATATTATCTGCCAATTTTATTCCTCTATTTCTCAGGAATTTGGCTGTTGCTCTCAGACCTTGAACTTGTAGGTCTACTGGTATCTTGTCCACCACAATGGCTTGTACTCGACAGACGTACCTGCCTAAACGTACTGATGGTTGTACCACCTGGTAGACTTTGAGGTCCTGCATCTGTTACAAACCCTGAGATGTTGAATGACGTCTGGGCTACAGGCCTTAATTGTAATTCATCTGCCAGCTTTTTAGTGATATGTTTCTCTGGGATCCTTGGTCAAACAACCCACGGGTATGGACCTTGGCCCTCTTATTCAGGATGGTAATTTGGGCAGTAGGCAAAGTCGTATTCACCTTTAGACTTTGCCGAATGGACACTCTTTGTGGTTGCACCTTGCAGTACTGTACTGAGGTGGGAATGCTATCTTCCACCTTGGGGTTTGGAGACGTTGTTTTGGTGTCTCTGCACAATGCTGCATGGTGCTGACCTTTGTTACACCTATTACAGGTGTGTAATTGGGTCTCACACAGTCGTTGATGTTATGTTTCCTGAGGCACCTCGTGCAATGTTGCAAATCTTTGAGTCGCTCAACACGGGCGTCACTATCAGGAAAATTAGGGCAGTGGTACATTGAATGTTTCTCATTGCAGAACAAACATGTTCCATAGCTTCCAGTACCCTTTGGTGTCACGTTCTTGGGTGACACAGTAACTATAGGCTTGGAGGGTCCAACTGCATATACGCCCACACTGCCACTGTTCCACTTTGGTGTTGAATTATATTGTCTAGATTGATTTGGAGTACCTTTGGTACTCTGTGGTTTACTATTATTGGTTTCTGAGGGTTTACTTGGTGGTTTTAATTTGTCATGTGTTCGTAATTGATGAACTACTGACTTTAAACCTTCAGATATTTCATTCATGGATAAGATACTTTTATTGTAATGAGCACTCATTTGTCTCAATATGTCCCTAGGTATTTTCTCCTGGACAATTATTTTCAAGACCACCCTCAGCCCCGTTTGTATCTGCTGTCAGGCTGAGGGCATTGATCAATGATTCTACCTCCAGCTTGAAGACTTGGAGTGAATCAGCTGAAGCCTCCGGTGGGGGTAAATGCAACAGCTCATGAACTAAATGTGATGTTCTTACTTCTGGATCAGCATAATTATCCTTGAGGAGTTTTACTGCCAGATCATAGCCGTCATTAGTTAATCTCAGATGGGATACTACTGTTTTAGCCTCACCTGATAAAATAGAGAATTTACTACTCGTCTACAAGGTCAACGAATTTGTTCCAAAATTCGTCCCAATCTTCCTCATCTTTTCTGAGAAAGTGGGTAAATTAATTGGAGGGAGTCGAGCTTCTGCTTGACTCGTTTTCTATCGTGATAACCAAGCTTGTAGGTTGTGGGGACGAGAAACGTATTTTGTAAATTCTGCACTCGCTAGGCTGTAATCCTACCTCTACTAGAGGTTAGCACTTAAAATTAATACACATTATATATATACAATCATACACACTAATGATTTGAGTGATAAACCAGTGTCACTGGAAGTACCTTTAGGTTAGCTCTTCTATATCACCCTAGGATGGTAGAGACACTAATTAATCACTCAAAGGTGTAATGATCATAAGTAAATTATTATATATACAACTCAACTCGAGTTGATAAAAATACACCCAAAATAGGGTCTGGACCATTCATTAATGGTGTTAGGTTGTTCAATATAGTACAACTGACTATGGTAATAATGGGACTAGGGTGACCGATAATAGTTCAACTAGTCAATGGTTAATATCCTACCCTGTTGTGGGTTGGCAATTAGTAAATATTATATTGAGATCACTAGTGCAATATATATTAAATAATTCTCTATTTTGGAGAAATAATATACACAATTATTGTTAATAGCCTCTTAATTAGCCTCTATGAAACTTCTAATATTATCTAGAAGTATTAAATGTTATTAGTGACCTCGCGAAATAAAGTCCACAAAATTCGTGGGATAATCTCTCGCGAAATGTAACACCACGAAATCCGTGAACAATATCGCGAAGACACAGTCCACTAATTAGGCTGGCTTCTATATTAGCGCTGTCATTTCACGAAATAACACGCCACCAATATCTGTGGGGTGTGCATGAAACCGCTGACGAAGCTGAACTGTGCTGAGGGAGGCTCCTGAGCTCCCACGAGGCAACGCCGCTGTCTATGACTGGCTGGCTTTGTTTTAAATAACACTGCACTAGTATATTTAATGAATCCACTGGTTAACTGGTTCATCCGGTACTAAGATGACCAAATGTGGGTTCATAGGACCGAATATTCCGGTTCTGAAGGTCCAAATAATGTGGGAACCGACCTGTGAGATTTATATTTATTTAATTTATATGAATTTATATTTACGTTAATTTATATACTTCGATAGCAATTTGTATAATGATAAGTGGACTGTATTTCTGCAATAATCTCATAATCTCACAAATCGATCCTCTACACATTAGGGGGTTTTAATATTTATATATATATGCAGCCAATCAAACTACAAATTAACTACATACATTGAAGAGGTTCCTTATCTTATAGTACAGCAGGTTAGTCCACCAGGTATAACTAGGGTGTAGACACCTAATTATCCTCTTTGAGGTAGCTTCCATATCACCCAGTAACTGGTGCACAAATCTTGCATCCTCGACTTGACCTGTCAAAAGTGCGCTAGCTGTGAAGCCAGAAATCCTATATATGACAAGCTATATCAGAGAAAACAGTACATGGAACATGAAGACCTGGCTTAATTACCTTTAGTTTGAGGCTTCCATGTGATCTAACCGGGTCACCCTATATAATGACATTAATGGCCACTAATGATAAATAATGGGTTTCGGAAAGAACACTTAACTTGATTTGTTGACAGCGTGTTGACAGATGGTACACCTTTGGTATCCATAACACTACGTCCAAGTAAAATTAACAGGAGCCGAATTTGCTCCCGTGTGAGCCTCTTGTCTCGATATGGCTGCCCTCCTTCCCCACTTGGCCTCATGTCCAATAACAGGATTATCGCATCTTTAAAAAAGGGGAAAGAGAGGGAAAGATAGAAAAAGAGAATGAAAGAAAACGAGACAGATAGAAAAAGAGAGTGAAAGAAAACGAGACAGATAGAAAAAGAGAGTGAAAGAAAAAAAGACAGATAGAGAGAGAGACAGAAAGAGACAGAGAGATTTTTTTTATTAACACATTTAGGAACATCTGCATTTGTGTAGCTACCTACCCTAGACTATATGAAGGGGAGTACAGTGTGTCAAAAATCTAGCTTTTTGACAGAGAGAGAGAGAGAGAGAGAGAGAGAGAGAGAGAGAGAGAGAGAGAGAGAGAGAGAGAGAGAGAGAGAGAGAGAGAGAGAGAGAGAGAGAGAGAGAGAGAGAGAGAGAGAGAGTGAGTGACAGTGAGAATGAGAATGAGAATGAGAATATTCACCCCTGACGCCCACCTCCCCCACAGTACTGTGGGTGAGGGGTGTGAGAAGCACCCACCACAAATCACCACGGGGCGGCGCCTCTGCCCCGTCGCGGCTCCGGGAAGCGCTTCACCATACACTCGAAACGGATGTTCTGAGAGTCCGTCAAACACGGGATATTTTCCCCAAATATTGACTCTGGCTCATATTTTGGTTCCTGTGTTTAGTTGGCATTCATAAATCCTCACAGTTCACAGCGAACGAAACATTGTTACAGGATTGTAACTTGTACCAACTCTCACAATATACTGATGTTTAGGTCACGTATGATACATGTTAGAGAGAGTAGTAGAGACAGAGGGAGAGACATAGAAAGGCAGAGAGAAATGGCGGTAAAGAGAGAGGGAAACAGAGAAAGTGTTGGAAAGCGGTCAAAAATATAATACAAAGCACCTATTGACAAGGCCCTCCGGTAAGAGGCAGAGGACACTGCGCCCAGAGTAACGCAGTGAATAATGGTAATGAATGGGTCAATGAGCTTCCTCTGCCCATTTAGATGGGGTGAGGGCCGATTGTCTGGCGGGAGAATAGAGTGCGCGAATCAATGGATGTAATGGAGTGACAAAAATCAGCTTGGGATATGACTGGGACAGGAGACTGATGGCTTTCCTCTTACTGGTAGCAGCTGTGGAGGAGGGAGAGAGGTAGAGAGAAAGATAGAGAGAGAGAGAGAGAGAGAGAGAGAGAGAGAGAGAGAGAGAGAGAGAGAGAGAGAGAGAGAGAGAGAGAGAGAGAGAGAAAGATAGAGAGAGAGAGAAATGTAGAGAGAAAGATAGAGAGAGTGAGAGAGAAAGGAAAGAGAAGAAAGAAAGAGAGAGAAAGTGAGAGAGAGAAAGTGAGAAAGTGAGAGAGAGAAGTGAGAAAGTGAGAGAGAGAGAAGTGAGAGAGAGAGAGAGAGAGAGAGTGAGAGAGAGAGAGAGAGAGAGAGAGAGAGAGAGAGAGAGAGAGAGAGAGAGAGAGAGAGAGAGAGAGAGAGAGAGAGAGAGAGAGAGAGAGAGAGAGAGAGAGAGAGAGAGAGAGAGAGAGAGAGAGAGGGGGGGGGGGCAGGGGGGAGCATCATGCATATATTTTCCTCAAGTACTATAAAACTCTCCTTATGTAAACCAGACCACAATAAATTTCCATACACGTGTCGAGGCAGATGTTCAAATTAATGTGCGTATGTTTCCACATACAAGTCCTTACCTATATGTGTGTTGGTAGAGATTGAACTCTAGCTCCTGAGCTCCGCGTCCTAGCCGTAACTGGCCGGCCCGAAACGCTGTACGTACTAATGGCTTTACAAGAATGTAAACACATCATCCTATGTCCTCTCATAAACCCAATGTAATTTCTTGTATATATATAAATAAAAGAAATATGGATGCTTCTTTTGTATTAATTTTTACTCTTAACTTAGTGTATGTATACATCTGTATCAGTTCCTCGCTGCTTGGCTTCCACGACGTTGTATGCCACTCGGCACATTGAGTGTACTCGCCTACAGGTACTCAACTATATGTGCCTGCTGGATCGATCGAGAGTGGGATCCCAAGCCCCGCCCTGCACATGTCTTGTAACTTAATACACAGGAGAACTGACAGTGCATTAAGATTGATTCATCCGCTCCCTCCTCCTATCCATTTCACTTATACAAAACTCTGGCAGTAATATCGGAAAGAATTTTGTCAGTGGGAATCATTTTGTCTCGTTCCTGCCTCGCCGTTCTCTCTCGTCTCTGACGTTTCCCGCTTTAAAAATTGTTTTACTTTAAAAACTTAAAAAAAATCGATTGATTTTAATTAAATCTTGAGTGTCGCTATCGGGTCCACCTTAGTTCAATACTTCCCTGTCGTTCAATCCCCTTTCTGGAACTATCCTTGTTGTGTATCTTTGGAGTATTTTTAAATTTGTGATTTTAGGTGAGGCCTTCTTACCAGGGCTGCACACACAAGATCGGGTCTAATGTAGGTTGTATAAAGGCAAAGGTGCTTTCCGAGAGTCAAGTTCCGGATGCTTTTTTCTTCGACATGCGCCCTACGTCACTTTGCCTTACTTTGGGGTTATATATAAGGTTCAGTATGTGAATCAGTTTGTCTCCCATTATGTCCCGCTTTGGAGGTCCTCCTAGTCCTGTTCCTATCCTCGTACCTTTACATTTGTCAGGGTTTAACTCAAATAGCCATTTTACGGATTAGTTAAGAAATATATCGAGTTTACTTTGTAATATGTTTAAATCTCCCTCAGTATTTATTCAAATTAATTTTGCATCCTCAGTCAGTATTTTTTTTTCACATCGGTGAGTACAGGAATGAAGGACTTCTGACTCCTGTTAGCAGGCTGAGGGCTCTCTCTTCCCATAGCTCATAGTAAGCCTAGCCCACAAGCTTTCCCTAGAACACGACCCTCCGATTGGTTAACAACAGGTACCCAATTATAGCTGGGGGAATAGAGGCAAACAATTAAGGATTGGCACCTAGTTAAATTTACCTTCCATGACTTCTCTAAGGAACAGGGGCCAGATTCACGAAAGCACTTACATACCTGTACATCTTTTCTCAATCTTTGGCGGCTTTGTTTCAAATTATTAAACAGTTAATGAGCTCCGAAGCACCAGGAGGATGTTCATAACAATAACGACAGTTGAATGGGAAGTTTTCATGCTTGTAAACTGTTTAATAAATGTAACCATAGCCGTCAAAGATTGAGGAAAGATGTACACGTTCGTAAGTGCTTGCGTAAGTGCTTTTGTGAATCTGGCCCCAGGATTCTCCACAGTACCGAGCCTTGTGGTACTCGTAGCTCCAACTCCGGTAGCTCTCGTTGCCCTCATGACCCTCTGTTTGTGTTCTCACCTAGTTGTGTTTGCGGGGATTGAGCTCTGGCTCTTTAGTCCCGCCTCTCAACCGTCAATCAATTGATGTACAGATTCCTGAGTTTTCTGGGCTCTATCATATCTGCATTTGAAACTGTGGAGGAGTCAGCCTAATCACTGCCTAATGCATTCCACCTGTTAACTACTCTGACATTAAAAAAAATTTTAACGTCCCTGTGGCTCATTTGGTTACTCAGTTTCCACCTGTGTCCCCTTGTTCGCGTACCACCCGTGGTAAAAAGTTTTTCCTTATCTACCCGGTCAATTCCTCTGAGAATTTTGCAGGTAGTGATCATGTCTCCTCTTAATCTTCTGTCTTCCAGTGTCGTGAGGTGCATCTCACGCAGCCTTACCTCGTAGCTCATGCCTCTTAGTTCTGGGACTAGCTTAGTGGCATATCTCTGATTTTTTTCAGCTTCGTCTTGTGTTTGACAAGGTACGGGCTCCATGCTGGGGCCGCATACTCCAGGATTGGTCTTACATATGTGGTGTACAAGATTCTGAATTATTCCTTACACAGGTTCCTGAACGCTGTTCTGATGTTAGCCAGCCTCGCATATGCCGCATATGTAATTCTTTTTATGTGGGCTTCAGGAGACAGGTTTGGTGTGATATCAATTCCTAGATCATTCTCTCTGTCCGTTTCATGAAGTACTTCATCCCCCATTCTCTATCCTGTGTCTGGCCTCCTGTTTCCACCACCTAGTTTCATTACCTTGCTTTTACTCGGGTTGAACTTTAGTAGCCATTTGTTGAACCATTTATTCAGTCTGTCTAGGTCATCTTGCAACCTCCTACTATCTTCCCACTGTGTGTGTGTAAGTGTGAGTGTGTACTCACCTATTTGTACTCACCTATTTGTGCTTGCGGGGGTTGAGCTTTGGCTCTTTGGTCCCGCCTCTCAACTGTCAATCAACTGGTGAGATTGTGTGTGTGTGTGTGTGTGTGTGTGTGTGTGTGTGTGTGTGTGTGTGTGTGTGTGTGTGTGTGTGTGTGTGTGTGTGTGTGTGTTTACTATTTGTATCTGAAGAACTAAGCTAAACAATTCAATTTTTCCTCTATTATGTCTAGTACATACATTTCTCTTACACACCTACACCTTCCCAGGAAGCAGCCCGTATCCACTAACTCCCAGGTACCTATTTACTGCTAGGTGAACAGAAGCAACAGGATGAAAGAAACTCTGCAGATTTGTCTCTCCCTCTCCCGGGGATGGCCATTTGTGTGTGTGTGTGTGTGTGTGTGTGTGTGTGTGTGTATGTGTATGTGTGTGTGTGTGTGTGTGTGTGTGTGTGTGTGTGTGTGTGTGTGTGTGTGTGTGTGTGTGTGTGTGTGTGTGTGTGTGTGTGTGTGTGTGTGTGTGTGTGTGTGTGTGTGTGTGTGTGTGTGTGTGTGTGTGCGCGCGCTATAGTTTGCACCTTAAACACACAATGTTCTGTGATTTGTGTTCGCAACAGCCATATACATGGGTATATTTATATTCACACACACTGATATTCAAGACAAATTTTCAAATAATTGGCAAAGGAAGGTGATAAATCGATGATAACGTGATAAGTGGCTCTCCCATCCGTCACCTGAGGGCCCTCATCCGTCACCTGAGGGGCCTCAGCCCAGGCATTCACGCCTCATAGGGGAGTTACGGCTTCCTTTTTCTTCCACGAACTGATAAGCTCCTTTTGAGCCATCAAGAAGACGAGGAGGTGGAAGAAGGGAGATAACGAAAAAAAAAAATTGGGAAGAGAAAGACACTAATGAATACCATGAATACAAAATACAATTTGTTAATGAAAGTGGCAATAAAAATTGGAGTGGATTTAGAGGGAAGAGATGATAATTGAGGAAAACTGAGAGCCAGAACACTGAAGATGACAAGGCAGCCAGTACAGGTGAGAAGGCAGCCAGTAGAGGCGAGAAGGCAGCCAGTAGAGTTGAGAAGGCAGCCAGTAGAGACGAGAAGGCAGCCAGTACAGGTGAGAAGGCAGCCAGTAGAGGCGAGAAGGCAGCCAGTACAGTCAAGAAGGCAGCCAGTACAGTCAAGAAGGCAGCCAGTACAGGTGAGAAGGCAGCCAGTACAGGTGAGAAGGCAGCCAGTACAGGTGAGAAGGCAACCAGTACAGGTGAGAAGGCAGCCAGTACAGTCAAGAAGGCAGCTAGTACAGTCAAGAAGGCAGCTAGTACAGTCAAGAAGGTAGCCAGTACAGGTGAGAAGGCAGCCAGTACAGGTGAGAAGGCAGCCAGTACAGTCAAGAAGGTAGCCAGTAGAGGTGAGAAGGCAGCCAGTACAGGTGAGAAGGCAGCCAGTACAGGTGAGAAGGTAGCCAGTACAGGTGAGAAGGCAGCCAGTACAGTCAAGAAGGCAGCCAGTACAGTCAAGAAGGCAGCCAGTACAGGTGAGAAGGTAGCCAGTACAGGTGAGAAGGCAGCCAGTACAGTCAAGAAGGCAGCCAGTACAGTCAAGAAGGCAGCCAGTACAGGTGAGAAGGCAACCAGTACAGGTGAGAAGGCAGCCAGTACAGTCAAGAAGGCAGCCAGTACAGGTGAGAAGGCAACCAGTACAGGTGAGAAGGCAGCCAGTACAGTCAAGAAGGTAGCCAGTAGAGGTGAGAAGGCAGCCAGTACAGGTGAGAAGGCAGCCAGTACAGGTGAGAAGGCAGCCAGTACAGGTGAGAAGGTAGCCAGTACAGGTGAGAAGGCAGCCAGTACAGGCGAGAAGGCAGCCAGTAGAGGCGAGAAGGCAGCCAGTAGAGGCGAGAAGGCAGCCAGTACAGGTGAGAAGGCAGCCAGTACAGGTGAGAAGGCAACCAGTACAGGTGAGAAGGCAGCCAGTACAGGTGAGAAGGCAGCCAGTACAGTCAAGAAGGCAGCCAGTACAGGCGAGAAGGCAGCCAGTACAAGCAAAAAGGCAGCCAGTACAGGTGAGAAGGCAGCCAGTACAGGCGAGAAGGCAGCTAGTAGAGGCGAGAAGGCAGCCAGTACAGGCGAGAAGGCAGCTAGTACAGGTGAGAAGGCAGCCAGTACAGGTGAGAAGGCAGCCAGTACAAGCAAGAAGGCAGCCAGTAGAGGCGCGAGAAAGGGCGACAATGTTAACGTGTATTTAAACACCCACATGACAAGATCTTCACCCAATAAAACTCAAGTTAACTGGTGTCCCCAAACTGCAGGTAAGTCAGGTCAACAGGGGTCAAAGGTCACACCAAGCCAAGGTACTTCAAGTGAGGTCAAAAGACCTTTGTACCAAGCTGATTGGTCACGCGCTACAGTCACGCCGTGTCACTAACCATCGTCCAGTTTTAGCTTCAGAGCGTCACGTATATATATATTGGTGATTTGAGCGATGGTATCGATACCAGAACGATGATTACTGACACGGTTCTTACCTTTAGAGCTAAGTGCCGGGATTTTTCACAGTAGTTAAGCCTTCTTGAGACACCAGCCGTCGACCTACCGACATTTGTATATATTTTGGTGCGATTTTCATGTAATAATAATTATTACTTCATATCCTGATAAAATGTTTCGTAGTTTTTCCATTCTCTTGGATCATTGGGGAATCGAACGCGGACCTCAGAAGTACGGAACACTAGTACAACAACAATAACAAAAGTATTAGGTTTTTTCCTCGTGTGTCGAATAATTTTTGTTTCCGTCCTTGGCATTTGGCATACTGCAAATTATAATTTAATATTCAAATATTTTTTTTGCAAATTTTTAATGCATTTTAATGCTTGAGAAATTCTTGAGAAATTCGACAACTGTCTTGCAATTTCCCTATTTTCCTGCAGAGTCATTGCAAACGTTTCTTCATGCATTCATCTTCACTTCATATCATAAAAAAAAGTATTACTACATTCTCGCTCTATTTTCTAAGCGTCGTGAGCAAATGTATAGATGTTTGTAAGCATGCAACCTTGAACAATAAAGTATATTATAATATAAAAAAGTGGGTGTTAAGATAAGCAAATATTCATACGAATTCAGAGACAAACGTCAAGATTTTCTCTGAATGCTCTTTATTTTCTTCACCGAGACTATGGGTCCCGACAATTGCACAAGAGGTGATACATACACACACTATATTATATAATATATATTATATATATATATATATATATATATATATATATATATATATATATATATATATATATATATATATATATATATATATATATATATATATATATATATATATATATAAGTGTGTGAGGGTACCACCTCTGGTGCCAATGTGGGGACCCATAGCCTCGGAGAAGAAAATACAAAGTATTCAGAGGAGACCTTGTGGTCTCTCACTGAACACCAATATTATCTTCTCTTACCACCCCCATTCTTTTGTATGTATACATATATATTTGCTTTATTTGAACCTTGTTACAAAAAAGGAGTTACATATAGGTTACAAAGATGGTTATCATAGGTTGTCGAGTTCCTCCAGCTCCTCAGATGGCGGGCAGGAACCCTGGATGCAGTGCGCATTTCCCCTCTGTATCGCTACGCTGAGGCGCTGGAAAAGAAAGCTGGCAGCTCTAGGGTCCCTTGTTGTTTCAATGAGCCTAGAACCCAGTTCCTTCAAAAAACTGGTAGCACTTTTACCCCGGGCGCCGAGTGTCTCAGAAGCAATGGGGACAAAATTGTAGTGGTGATCCAGTTCTCTATGCTTACGGGATTTGGCTGCTTCCCTGTGGGTGGCAGCGCCACCTGGTTGTGCAACACTGAGGTTAATGTAGGTGTTAGCCAGGGTTGATACGCACGTGTAGTCCCATACCAACTGCTTGCCATTCTTCCAGGGGTTCACTGTGATACCATCCGGGCGACCAATAAGAGCATCAGAGTTACGGGGCGTTAGGTAACGGGGCTCTCTTTCAGCTGGGCATCCAGCTGTAGTGAGACTCCTCTTGATGATGTCGTTAACTTCACTGTGCCTCGAGTGCCATCCCCCTGTGCTTTGGCAGAGTAGGCCATGGTGGCCGTACCTGCCATCCCCCTGTGCTTTGGCAGAGTAGGCCATGGTGGCCGTACCTGTCAGCCACCACCTCGCCGCAAATACACCTATATCTGGTGTGGATTGGGGCAGCAAGGCGAAGGGCCACAGCAATTCGGAGGGCGTGTGGTGTGAGACGCGTGCCAGTTGCCGACATTGGGGTTGCTAACAGGAAATCCCCTGCATGTGGTGCTGCTACTGCTGTGAGGCGAGCAATGTCGTGTTGTGTTGTTGCAGCACCCAGGCACTCTGCAGCAACTTGGTCTACAATGGGGCCATCCCAGCTGGATTGCTTGTGGGCTTTTGGGGATGGTGGTTGAGGTGATGGGCCTGCACGAGAGGCCCACTCTGTGGCACAGCGTGTAAAATTGGGATCATGTACACCTGCCAGCTGATGTAAGTGGGCAGGTAGAATTTCCTTCATATATATATATATATATATATATATATATATATATATATATATATATATATATATATATATATATATATATATATATATATATATATATATACACACACACATCTATATGTATACACCCTAACTCATGTCTAAGGAAGGAGGAAGTGAGCCCAGGGGGGGGGGGGTGAGAGCGTGTCGCCTTCCAGTTAATTCACAAGTTTTTGGTAATTGGTGTAAAGGTTTAGTGAGGAAGAGGAAGAGGAGGTAGGGGTAGAAGGGAGAGTGGGTTAGTAGGGGGGAAATGGGAGGGACAGAAGGGGGAAGACGAGGGGGGGGGGGTGATCTTGGGGGAGAGAAGGCAGAAAGGACAAGGAAGGGGAGTATGGAAGGGAAAAGGTTAATTATCGTTTGTTCTGCTTACAAATACATTCACTCCGTCCTCGCCAACTGCTTCCAGCCAGCCGTGTGTCTCTCGTGCTGTCCACACTCAGTCTGTCACTCCCTCACACTCACTCTCCGTTACTCCCGCACACTCAGTCTGTTACTCCCTCACACTCAGTCTGTTACTCCCTCACACTCAGTCTGTTACTCCCTCACACTCAGTCTGTCACTCCCTCACACTCAGTCTGTCACTCCCTCACACTCACTCCTCTCCGTTACTCTCTCACAATCACCCTCCGTTACTCCCTCACACTCACTGCCCGTTACTCCCTCACACTCACTGCCCGTTACTCTCTCACACTCACGGCCCGTTACTCCCTCACACTCACGGCCCGTTACTCCCTCACACTCACGGCCCGTTTCCTCACACTCAGCATGCCCTCCTACCCTCCTCCTCCTCCCATAACTAACCCGACAACACTCTTCATATTTCTACCGTCGTCCACTCCTTCAACATGGCCAAACGACTTCAGTATTCTCTCACCACATTACGGGCTATTCATGCCCGTGCCGCCTCTTGGGTGGCTTAATCTTCATCAATGAATCTCTCCTCAGTTTGGAGCCCAACCACTTAGGCTGGACGGTAGAGCGACGGTCTCGCTTCATGCAGGTCGGCGTTCAATCCCCGACCGTCCAAGTGGTTGGGCACCATTCCTTTCCCCCGGTCCCAACCCAAATCCTTATCGTGACCCCTTCCCAGTGCTATATAGTCGTAATGATTTGGCGTTTTCTCCTCAATATTCCCTTCCCTTCCTCAATTTGGCGGTTTATAAGGACTTTTGGACTCTACATCTCCCACTGTAATTCTCATTCCTAAAAGTATTCTCATGGAATAGTATCAGGAATGTTTCTCCTTATACTATTCCACGCCTTCTATGCCATATAATTATAATATTACACTATATAATCACCACGAATGTTTCTCAGTTTATACGTTTCGTGAGAGAGTAGATAGGGCAAATGAGAGAGAAGATGGGGAAATAATAGAGCAGGAACCAAAAGTGAATGAGGAAATGAGAGATGTTAGGATAAATGAGGATATGCTAGAAAAGGAAGAGGAGCGACAGGAGGGAAAATAAAAAAAAAAGACATAATAACGGAAGAGGAGAGGTGTGAGAGAGAAAGGAAGAGAGCAAAATAGGAGAGGAAAGGGGGCAGAGAGAGTAATAAGGGTGGTGGTGGGTAACACAATAGGGTAATCCTAACAGCTGTTGGGTCAGGTCAAGGGAGGCGAGATGGGTGACCAGGAGAATAGGGGTTGGGCGAGGCTGAATGGGTTGTAGTGATGGGCAGAGTGGTGGTGATGGTGGTGGTGATGGTGGTGGTGATAGTGGTGGTGATAGTGGTGGTGATAGTGGTGGTGATAGTGGTGGTGATAGTGGTGGTGATAGTGGTGGTGATGGTGGTGGTGATAGTGGTGGTGATAGTGGTGGTGATGGTGGTGATGGTAGTGGTGGTGATGGTGGTGGTGGCACCCTGGAGGTGGCACTATCACACACGCATAATTCAAGGTTACTGGCTGGCTGACTCTCAGCCTCCCATCCCGTTTTCTATGCCCCGGAAGGTTTAGCTGTCTCTGAATAATTGAGTCTGAGTACTTCAGCGCCTTAATTACGGCGGCTTGCGTGTCTTCGTGTAATTTATGGGGTTTGTCATAAAAATAAACGACGCCTGCAATATCAATACGAAATTTAGTAACGATTGGCCCTGTCAGCACATCTCTGGCCTCATTCACCCTCTCCCATACACAAGTTCAGAGCTACACCCACACACACACACCCACACACACATACACACACACACACACACACACACACACACACACACACACACACACACACACACACACACACACACCCATGGTGTGTGTGTGTGGGGGGGGAATGAGTAGGGGGGACTGGTGGCTGAGTGGACAGCGCTCTAGACTTGTGAACCTAGAGACCGAGAGTTCGATCCCCGGCACCGACGGAAAAACAAATGGGCAGAGTTTTCTTCACCCTGATGCCCTGTTACCTAGCAGTAAATAGGTACCTGGAAGTTAGACAGCTGCTATGGGCTGTTTCCTGTACTCACCTAGTTGTACTCACCTAGTTGTGTTTGCGGGGGTTGAGCTCTGGCTCTTTGGTCCCGCCTCTCAACCGTCAATCAACAAGTGTACAGGTTCCTGAGCCTATCGGGCTCTGTCATATCTACATTTGAAACTGTGTATGGAGTCAGCCTCCACCACATCACTGCCTAATGCATTCCATTTGTCAACCACTCTGACACTAAAAAAGTTCTTTCTAATATCTCTGTGGCTCATTTGGGCACTCAGTTTACACCTGTTGATTGACGGT